ATTTATATTTGAAGTATTCAAGCGCCAACAGCGGTATATATTTATTAGTCTTTATTATATAGTTTTCTTTGTTTTTCTTCATTTTAAATACTACTACTGTATTTCCGGACCGCTCGGCCCCTCCAGGTAATGAAAATTTATACCGATACGTGCAAAAAATTACCAGAACACGCCCGCCTCACAAAATGAACCAATAGACAGCTTAAGATCTACGACGTCCACGTCAGCTAGGACGTCAGGGCTAAGCAGAGGACTGGGACTAGGATGTCGTCCTAAATAAGTAGATTGCTAAATATCTACGACGTCAAATATTTAGGGCGACAAGCGGAATAAAATTGGTAATAGTTTTTGAAGTGTGCATGTGTCTCTCTCAATTTGCTCGTCGTCCACCAAACGTCTACAACCTCACAACAAGAGTTTTACCGTCGTGGATACAAGAGCATAACAAACGATAATGAATTCATGTGTCTCTTTAAAATTCATTCTCAAAAGAATGTAAATATTTTATATTTATAGTTTAAACGTCGACGTCGTGAATCTTAAGAGGTAGTTTCCCAGCGGGCAAAATGACGTTTATCCAACGTTGAATCAACGTTGGAAATGATCTTCCAGGCGTTGGGTATATAGACGTTGAAAAGGGGTTGACTATGCAAATTGGATCAACGTTGAAACAACGTTGAAATTAGGTTGCCAATCTCGTCAACCATAATTCAACGTTGAATCCACGTTAAAACAACGTTGAGATTGGTTCACAAATCGACATCGTACATTTAACCAACCATGAATGAACGTTAATTCAACGTCTGTTGGCTGCTGTTGAACCAATGTTTGTAAAACAACGTCAGAGCAACGTAGATAGACACCTTAAGCAAACGGGACGGCAACGCGACGACGACAGCTATTCACACAATGATATTCCTGATTTCGTACAAATGAAATGAATAATTAAAAGTCCCACGGGAGTTAGAGACGTTTTGTTAGGGCTTTTTACAACGGCAAACCAGAGATTTTCACGTCTCATGAACAACGCAAACATGTCAAAACGCGACAAGTGAAACTACAAATTTGCTCAGCAGAAGCGTTTTTAACCATAAAGCCTAATTTGTTTTAATCTCTTTAAACTGAACTCAATTCATGTATACATGCAGTGAGTAAATACACAACAACTCTTCGTCGAAATAATTTATTTGAAGAAGTTTGTTTTGGCTGTTGTCGTCGCGTTGCCGTCGTACATGCTTAAGGTCCCTATTATTAGGGTACGTTGTCGACGTCGCAACCTTTTTTCTACCAAATTTCAACGTTGAAACAACGTCGTGTGCTCGGTGGGTTATTTATTTAGGACGACGTCCTAGTCCCAGTCCTCTGCTTAGCCCTGACGTCCCAGCCG